GCCCCAGGGCACGGCAAAACCTCCCGCCTGCTCCTGGGCTGGACCCGAACAACTGCGAGATGGGTGCCAGGGGGTCGGGGAGGGCGAGAGCCACGGCCCAAGCAGCAGCACCAGCTCCTGACAAAGCCAAGACAAGGTGAATGTGAGCGAGGACCACGCCGTAAGGAGACGGTGAGATGTTTCTGCATGTGGCCCTGAAACGAAACACGCTGCGTGCTTTGCAGAGCAAAACGATCCAGCCCAGTCCCTCGCCCAACCAGTTGTGCAACGAAAAGGCAAGGAATGAGCACAACGAGGTGGTGGACTAGGGAAGGACAAGGGTGAGGGTGCTGAGATGTGGCTCCAGCCCGCACCTCTCGCTCCGTTAGAACACTCAGCCTTGCTGCACCAAGCCAGACGTTCCCAGCTCAAAGGGTTTGTGATGCGAAGAGGCCAGCTAAGCTCACAAGTTCAGGGCAGGAGGACATGTCCATGTGCTAGGTGTGTCTTCTAGTATTTCGGTGTTTGCACTGTATTATTTTGGTCCTGGATAAATACTGCTGCTTATGCGATATTCATGGAGGCTGGGGTTTCAGAAGGGCCTTGGGCTCAGCTGTGTTGCTTAATTGCTACAGCATCATCTCACAGGGCAATATAAGCCATTTAGAACCTAAATGGTGAGAAAAAAAGCAGTGTGATGGACAGCAACCCCAGTTTGAATATTTGATGAGGTGGGAATATTTGGTGACAAGATAAAGTTTGGCTGCCCGCCAGGTGAATTTTCCTGGGTAGTTGTGGGCACTTGGGTACAAAGAACCTGAGATAAGGCCACAAGATCTGCCATTCAAGTTGTCCATGTTGGAGTGCTGAGACAGACACTGATGCAAATCCCAAACAGTTCTCCTCTGACCATATCTCCAGCTCTTCCCAAACCAGCAATGACCAGGCAAGTCCCAGGGAGAGAGGACAAATATTGCTCTGACCCCAGAGCCTGGATCCATCTTTTCCTCCATTATGTCCCTGTGGAGGCCACCAAAGAAGTGGCTTCTTCCCATCAAGTTCACACCAACACCATGACAGGAGACAGCCACGATGCCACGACAGCACTGGGAGCTGAAGATGGTTACGCAAAGCACTGGAGAGAAGATGCCAAGGGAAAGCCCACAGCTGGCAACATCTCAGAGCAAAATGAGATGGAATCATCAGCCACTATTTGTTATTTACAGCTTGTACTTGGCTACTGGCCTGGAAGTGATTTCAGAGCCCAGGAACAAAAGGCTCCACAACATCCCTGGGGAATCCTCTAAGCGTATCAGCTCCTTTGCTTCAGAAGTGCCTGCCAGTGAGACCTGTCTCCAGGATCATCCTGGTAAAGGCTTTCTAGAGTGGAATTGCATCGACTTCCCTCCCGCTGCAGTGACGAGATTATTGCCTGCCATTGCCTCTGCAAAGCCTGCCTGGGGTTTATCTGAAGCTGTCCACACCGAGATATCTGCTCACAAACCACTCCACTGGGAAGTGCTCCAACACACTCCTCTCCTGCCGCAATGCCAGCTCAGGATCTCACTGGCATGCATCAGGGAGTGCAGCGGTGGGATTTGCACATTCTTTCCAGACCGCAGTTTCCAGTGACAAACCTGACCCTAACACAGAGACCAGCTCAGCATCAGACCTGGCCGGCCACGCACCACCCAATGCAGCTGAGACAAGGCACACACATCTCCCCAGCCCCTTGTCGCAAACCCCCAGCCCAGCTGCACAGTCACCTGCAGACTAACCACCGGAAAACATGGTTCCTCATGGAAAGTACAACCATGGCTGCTCCTCAAAGCCATGAATGCCAGGAATTCCCCCCCAAAACCACACATTCCCATCCCATCTCCGCTTCCATGTTGCGTTCTTCACCATCCGCTCTTGCTGTCCATCCTTGGCAGGAGGTGCACTGGGAGAAGAGGTGACCAGGTTGCACCAGGCTCCCCATTCACATCTCATCCTGTGCTTTTGTTGGGTCTCAAACTCAGCACATGCCTGAACTCACTCCCTTCCCTGGAACAGGCAACCAACACCAAACACAGAGACAG